TCTCTATGGTCCCTTCCAACTCTAAAAATTCAGTGAAATTCAGTGAAATCCCTTGGGATGAGCCTCCATGGGGAAAGGCTTGAGGGGTGAGGGACCAGGAAGGAGGAACCATCTCGTCTGATGCCGTTTTCCTGCTGTTTGTCCAGTAAAACCTACGGGATCACCATCAGGGAGCTGGACCAGCCACTGCTCATCCACAGGCCCAAGGAAAAACAGACACCAGAGGGGAAGGTGAGCCAGCCTGGAGAAGAGGAGGCTCCGGGGAGACCTAATAGCAGCTTCCAGTCCCTGAAGGGGCCTACAGGAAGGCTGGGGAGAACCTGTTTAGAAAGGGCTGCAGTGACAGGACGAGGGGCAATGGCTTCAAGCTGGAGGGGAACAGCTTTAGACTGGAGATGAGGAGAGGGTTCTTCACTGGGAGGGTGGTGGAGCACTGGAACAGGTTGCCCAGGGAGGTGGTTGAGGCCCCTTCCCTGGAGATATTCAAGGAGAGGCTCGACGAGGCCCTGGGCAACCTGGTCTAGTTGGGGGTGTCCCTGCTGACCTGATCGCCTTTGGAGGTCCCTTCCAGCCTGGACAACTCTATGATTCTTTGGAGAGCTGGGGTGGGGAAACTGAGACCCATGGTCTTTTCTCACCTCTTCCAACCCCTGTCCTGCCCATCGTTGGGTTTGCAGCCCCTTCTTGGGGGGCTGACAGTGCTTGTCCCCCTCCCCACAGCGCCGGTTGGACATGGTGATGCTCGTGCCAGAGCTCACCTTCATGACTGGGATCCCCGACACCAAGAAGAACAGTCGAATGGTGAAGGTCAGAGCATCCAGCTGGTGGTCCCTGCTCACCTGAGCTGGGGCGGGGGGGTCTCAGAGCCCCCCCCATCAAGTCTGGAGGATCCTCAACCCATCTCCTCCCCTGCAGGACGTGATGAGGGAGATGCTGCAGAGCCCCAGGCAGCACTACCAACGTCTCACCAGCCTCCTGCGCAGGATCAAGGACAACCCGGAGGCCTCGGGGGAGCTGATGCGCTGGGGGCTCACCCTGGACCCAGATATCTACAGGGTAAGGGGGCTGTGGTGGTGGTGGGGGGTGGGCAGGCTCCATGCTCTCCCCCCAACCCCCCAAGGAATGGAGTTTCCATGGGTTTCTGCTCCCTTTAGACCCAGCGCTCTCCCCCCCCAGAAGGAATGGAGCTTCCATGGGTTTCTGCTCCCTTTAGACCCAGGGCCAAATCCTGCCCATGGAGAGGGTCAACCTGCGGCGCAGCTCCTTCGTGCCCACCGAGGACCTGAACTGGAACAAGGAGGTCACCAGAGAAGCTTCCATCTCCACGGTGAGCCCAGGGCAACGGCATCCCCTTGGTGGAAAACTGGGATGGGTTTTTCCTTCGCGTCTGCCCGGCTCCTGCCTGAGCTTGTTGGAGCTAAAACCCTTATTTTTGTTGGCTTTATGCTCCAGCCTGTTTTTTTCCTAAAGAGGCTGGAGGTACGTGGCCGTGGCATCTGCTGTCCTACCTCCTCCTGGAGGAGGCTGAAGGCTTCCAGACCGCAGCGTTTGGATGTTGTCTGTGCCCTTTAGGTTCCTCTGGGGCTCTTTTCCTTCTCCCAAATTTCCCTCTGGGCTGCCAGGGCTGGGAGCTGCGTGTTTTGGCAGCTCTGGTCCCCCGAGGTAAGGGTTGTCCTGGCCTCCCTCTTAGGTCGCCATGAATTACTGGCTGCTGGTTTACCCCAAGCGCCTGCAGGACCTGGCCAAGGATCTGGTGGCCTCCATGGAGAGCGTCTGTGGTCCCATGGGGATGCACATCAGCCGGCCAGCCTTGGTGGAGCTGAAGGACGACCGCATCGAGACCTACGCCAAGACCATCCGAAGCGTTTTGGGCACTGAGGTGAGGTGGGGGGGGGTCCACGGAGGTGGGGGAAAACCACAGGGTGAGTTTAACATGAAAAGGACTTGTGGCCTTGAGCAACCTGCTCTGGCATGTGTTTTGGCAGCTCTGGTCCTCCAAGGTAAGGGTTGTCCTGGCCCTCCCTCTTAGGTCGCCATGAATTACTGGCTGCTGGTTTACCCCAAGCGCCTGCAGGACCTGGCCAAGGATCTGGTGGCCTCCATGGAGAGCGTCTGTGGTCCCATGGGGATGCACATCAGCCGGCCAGCCTTGGTGGAGCTGAAGGACGACCGCATCGAGACCTACGCCAAGACCATCCGAAGCGTTTTGGGCACTGAGGTGAGGTGGGGGGGGGTCCACGGAGGGGGGGGAAAACCACAGGGTGAGTTTAACATGAAAAGGACTTGTGGCCTTGAGCAACCTGCTCTAGTAGGAGGTGGCCCTACCCATGGAAGGGGGTTGGAACTAGATGATCTTTGAGGTCCCTTCCAACCCAAACCATTCTATGAATTCTATGACAAAAGCTGCGTTGCCAGCAGGTCCAGAGAGGGGATTCTGCCACTTTACTCTGCTCTGGTGAGACCTCACCTGGAGTATTGTGTGCAGGTCTGGAGCCCTCAATACAAGAAGGACATGGACCTGATGGAGAGGGTCCAGAGGAGGGCCACGAGGATGATCAGGGGGATGGAGCACCTCTGCTCCGAGGACAGGCTGAGGGAGCTGGGGTTGTTCAGCCTGGAGAAGAGGAGGCTCCGGGGAGACCTAATAGCAGCCTTCCAGTGCCTGAAGGGGCCTACAGGAAGGCTGGGGAGAACCTGTTTAGAAAGGCCTGCAGTGACAGGACGAGGGGAAATGGCTTCAAGCTGGAGGGGAACAGCTTTAGACTGGAGATGAGGAGAGGGTTCTTCACTGGGAGGGTGGTGGAGCACTGGAACAGGTTGCCCAGGGAGGTGGTTGAGGCCCCTTCCCTGGAGATATTCAAGGAGAGGCTCAACGAGGCCCTGGGCAACCTGGTCTAGTTGGGGGTGTCCCTGCTGCCTGCGGGGGGGTGGGACTAGATGGCCTTTGGAGGTCCCTTCCAACCTGGACAACTCTATGACTCTATGACTTGAGGGTTCTAATTGACAAGCAGCTGAATATGAGCCAGCAGCTTGCCCAGGTGACCAAAAAAGCCAATAGCATCTTGGTTTCTATTAGAAATTGGTGTGACCAGAAGAAGCAGTGATTGTCCCCCCCTGTGCTCAGCGCTGGGGAGGCCACACCTGGAGTGTTGTGTCCAGTTTTGGGCACCTCAAAGAGATCTGGAGGTGCTGGAGCGGGTGCAGAGGAGGGCGACGAAGCTGGTGAAGAGCCTGGAGAATAAATCATACAAAGAGCGATTGAGGGAGCTGGGATTGTTTAGTTTGAGGAAGAGGAGGCTGAGGGGAGACCTCATCACTCTCTACAGCTACTTGAAAGGATGTTGTAGAGAGGTTGGTGCTGGTCTTTGCTCACAGGTAATCAGGAATGGCTTCAAGCTGCAACAGAGTAGGTTTAGAGTGGACGTTAGGAAATGGGTACAAACTTGAATATAGGAAGTTCCACCTAAACATGAGAAGGAACTTCTTTCCTGTAAGGTTGGCAGAGCCCTGGAAGAGGTGGTGGAGTCTCCATCTTTGGAGACATTCGAAACCCTCCCGGACACGTTCCTGTGGGACCTGCTCTGGGTGGACCTGCTTTGGCAGGAGGGGTTGGAGGAGATGATCTCCAGAGGTCCCTTCCAACCCCATGTCATTCTATGATGATTCTATGAAATTCTTCACAGAAAGAGCAGTCAGAGTCTGGAAGAGGCTGCCCGGGGAGGTGGTGGAGTCACCATCCTTGGATGAGTTTAAAAGTTGTTTAGATGTGGTGTAGGGGAGAACTTTGCAGAGTGGGGTTGATGGTTGGACTCCATGATCCCAAGGGTCTTTTCCAACCTGAATGACTCTCTGATTCTATGTCTGCTGGGGAGGGCTGTGTCTCCTGGGCTGCCATCTGCTGGGGAGGGCTGTGTCTCCTGGGCTGCTCCTGCATCTGATGCTCCTGCATCCTCTCCCTTCCCTCAGGAAAGGGTGCAGCTTGTCCTCTGCATCATCTCCAGCAGCCGGGAGGACTTGTACACGGCCATCAAGAAGCTCTGCTGCGTGCAGACCCCAGTGCCCTCCCAGGTAGGTGAGGGGCTTGGCCGAAGGGGACCACCACCACTGAGAAGCTGTGGGCATCTCCAGCCCATGGGCATCTCCAGCCTCGCTTTTCCTTGGTTTTTTTCCCCCCAAAACAGGTCATCAACGCGCAGTCCCTCATGGGCCAGGCGGGCAAGATGAGGAGTGTGGTCCAGAAAGTCCTGCTGCAAATAAACTGCAAGATGGGGGGCGAGCTCTGGGGGGTGGACATCCCCCTGGTAAGCTGGGCGAGACACGTGTGTGATGAGTTTGCAAGCTCTGGGGGGGGGTAAATTGTTGCAATCAGGGGCTTCTCGGTGGGGATGCGGCTGAACCACCTGCAGAATTGGGGTTGGCATCTCCATTTTGTGCTTGCAACATCCCTGATGGATGGATGGATCCCATCAGGGCAGCCTAAAATTGTCTGATTTATCCCAAATTCCCTCCTGCATTTTTTAACCCCCTCCTCCAGAAACAGCTGATGGTCATCGGGATGGATGTCTACCACTGCCACAGCAAAGGCATGCGCTCCGTCATCGGCTTCGTGGCCAGCATGAACCAGTACGTGGTAGCCCGGGGGGAAAGGCTTTCCTCCTGCTCCGTGGGGGGGATGTGGGGGGTCCCCACTGCTTCTCCTTTGCTGGGAAAGGGGTGAAACTGGTGCCTGTGTCCACTAGTGTGTTTGTGTTGGACATCAGTGGTGGTGGTGGCCTTCAGCGTGCCCTCGGTGCTGGGAAAGGTGATTCAAGCACTGAGCTGGGGTGGGTTTTGGTTGCACAACATCTCGATGGACTTTGGCTGGTGAAGGAGGGGGGCTGGGAAGGTGCCTGATGCTTGTCCCTTTCTGTCCCCCAGCGTCCTCACCAAGTGGTACTCCAGGGTGGTCTTCCAGATGCCCCACCAGGAGATCGCCGACAGCCTGCGGCTCTGCCTGGCCGATGCCCTCCAGCATTTCCACGAGGTGAGGCCAAGGCCAACGGGATGAGGTTTAATAAGGCCAAGTGCCAGGTCCTGCATTTTGGTCACAACAACCCCAGGCAACGCTACAGACTTGGGGCAGAGTGGCTGGAAAGCTGCACAGAAGAAAAGGACCTGGGGGTGTTGGTGGACAGTTGGCTGAACATGAGCCAGCAGTGTGCCCAGGTGGCCAAGAGGGCCAATGGCATCCTGGCCTGTATCAGGACCAGCGTGGCCAACAGGAGTAGGGAAGTCATCGTGCCTCCATACTGGGCACTGGTGAGGTCTCACCTCGAGTACTGTGTTCAGTTTTGGGCCCCTCACTACAGGAAAGACATTGAGGGGCTGGAGCGTGTCCAGAGGAGAGCCACCAAGCTGGGGAGGGGTCTGGAGAACAAGTCCTATGAGGAGAGGCTGAGGGAACTGGGCATGTTTAGTTGTGGTTTTTTTGGTTTTTTTTGTTTTGGTTTGGTTTTTTTGTTGTTTTTTTTTTTTGTGGTTGGACTCGATGATCTCAGAGGTCCCTTCCAACCACTAAGATTCTGTGATTCTCTGAAACCCTCCAGCCTGGCTCTACAGAATAAAAAAAAAAAACCCTCCTGTGGTTTAACATCAGCTCAAAACAAGGCAAAACCACCCCAAACCCCTCGACCTGCGTGCGTGAGGGTGAGCAAACATCCCTCAGCAGCCTTTGGACTGGATGTGGAGCCCTGGAGAACCTCACCCTTATCTGGGGGGACGTGCGGAGCCGCCTGGAAGGATTCCTTTGGGCTGGGGGAAGTGCCACGTTAAGGCCTCTGCTGGTATCAGCACTGGAAATGCTGAGCCCTGGCCTTTTTGGGTTTTTTTTGTCACACGATGACCCCAGCGTGAGAAAAGCAGCCTGTGGTGGAGCAGGGACCTGCTGCCCTTGGAAATGTTCCCTGTTCCTCTGAGGGTGCTGTAAAAAAGAAAAAAGAAAAAAAAGCCCTGAAAAGGGGAAGTTTGGTGGTCACCAAATGCTTGCTCTCTGGCAGGATGAGTGCAAACGCTGCTTTTCTCTGCTCTTCCAGCCCTTCTGAAACCTGATTTTAAACATATTTGTTGGTCCTGAGAGTAATTAAAGGCTTTTTGCAAAGCTTGAGGGTGATGGGTTGAATTCCTGGGCTGAAAACCTGCTGTGTCAGGAACAGTGTGGGGAGTAGGGCCCGAGAGGTGATTGTCCCCCTGGACTGGGCACTGGGGAGGCCTCACCTCGAGGGCTGTGTCCAGTTTTGGGCCCCCTACCATAAAAAAGACATTGAGGTGCTGGAGCGGGTCCAGAGAAGGGTGACAAAGCTGGTGAGGGGTCTGGAGAATAAGTCTGATGAGGAGAGGCTGAGGGAGCTGGGGGTGTTCAGCCTGGAGAAGAGGAGGCTGAGGGGAGACCTTATTGCTCTCTCCAACTCCCTGAAAGGAGGGGGTAGAGAGATGGGGGTCGGTCTCTTTTCTCAAGTCACAGGTGACAGGACGAGAGGAAACGGCCTCAAGTTACACCAGGGGAGGTTCAGGCTGGATATTAGGAAAAATTTTGTCACTGAAAGGGTTCTCAGCCCTTGGAATGGGCTGCCCAGGGAGGGGGTTGAGGCCCCATCCCTGGAGGTGTTCAAAAGCCGGGTTGATGTAGTGCTGGGAGGTCTGGTTTAGTGATGATGCTCCTTGTTTGTTGTGTGGGTGTCTATTTTTGTCAGTTAGGGTGACGGTTGGACAAGATGATCTTTGAGGTCCCTTCCAACCTAGAAGATTCTGTGATTCTGTGAATTGTCCACTCTGGGGGACCCAATAGTTGTCCAGTGTCCAACTTCTTGCCAGGGTGGGCATCTCCCCCTTGCCTGTGCGGGGTGAGGGGCTAAAAACCAGTGATTTTTTCCCATTTCTTCTTGCCCAGATGAACCACTGCTTGCCCAAGAAGATCGTGGTGTACCGGGACGGCGTGTCGGACAGCCAGCTCGACACCGTGCTCAAGTATGAAATCCCCCAAATGCAGAAATGTTTTGATACCTTTGAGAACTACCAGCCCACCATGGTGGTGGTGGTGGTCCAGAAGCAACTCAGCACCAATTTCTACGCCCTGACGGCGGAACAATTCAGCTCCCCTCCTCCGGGCACCGTCGTCGACCACACGGTCACCAGTTCGGACTGGTGAGTGGTGATGGGATGGGATTAAAAAACCCAAAAAACCCATATATGTAAAAAAAAATACTTCCAAACTCCCTGGTGTGTGATAAAACCTTGCTTTTTCTTCCCTCCCAGGGAGGATTTCTTTCTGGTGGCCCATTCCTCTCGCCAGGGCTGCAGCATCCCCACGCGCTACGTCTGTGTGCTGAACACGGCCAACCTCAGCTGCGAGCACCTGCAGAGGTAAGGACAGGCTTTTTGCTGTCCCCTGGGGTGTTTGGACCTACCTCTGAGCCCTTAAATCTGGTTTTTATCACTCAAAACTCCACTCCCCCTGTGGAGCTGCCCGGGGAAGGGGCAGCAGGTTAACTGGGAGGGCTCCATAGCGGACGAGGAGGAGGATGGTGTCTGTCTCGCCTCCTCTCTGGGCAAGAATTAATTGGGAAGGTGATAAAGGAAAAATCTGTGTCACCCTGTGCTGGCCCGGGTGGCCTTGAAGGAGAGCTGTGACGGGTTGAAACACAGCTCAAATAATTAATGAATCAAATAATCAGCTGCTATCAGCAGCCCAGGCGGAGCCTGACCTTTAATTCCTGCCACGGGGAAGAAAAACATGAGCAGATTGAGCCGTGGCAGCCTTTAAGGAGCAGGATCTGACCCCAAAATATACAATTCTACGAGCTGGGAATGGCAGGGAGCACTAACCTCCTCCTCTTCCTCCTCTTCCTCCTCTTGTCCCCAAGGTTGACCTTCAAGCTTTGTCACCTCTACTGGAACTGGCCGGGCACCATCCGCGTCCCCGCTCCCTGCAAATACGCTCACAAGTTGGCATTTCTTTCGGGGCAAATCCTGCACCACGAGCCCAGCGCCCAGCTCTGTGACAAACTCTTCTTCCTATAGCTGGGGGGATGTGGAAAAAAACCAAAAGAAAAAAGAAAAAATTAAAAAAAACCAAAAGAGCTCATTTTTGGGGTTCAGCTCCCCCAACCGCTGCTGGTAAAATCTGCAAAAGGGACTTCCTTTCCTTAATTTTTTATTGTTTTATTTATTTGTTTCTGCACGTGGTTTTTTTTTTATTTTATTGGTTTAAAAGGCTGCTCAGAAGCATCCTGCAGGGCCCCAGAACAATGGACTTTTGGGATTTATCTCCATGGGAATGAAATTGCAGCATAAACCCCATCGCTCTGGGGCCCTCCCAGTCTCTCCCCACTGGTTTCCAGTCCTCCCAGCAAAGGGGTTGGAATAAACGAGCCCCAGAGGTGAGGCTGCTCCCCCAGCGCAGGCTCCAGCTCCTCCCTCCCCATCCCAGGGGGGTGCTGGATGCAAAACTCAACGATTTCTGGGATTTATTATATTTTTCCCCCAAAATTTCTCCCATCATCCCCAATCGAGGCAGCCGCCCAGTTAGAATTTTATTTACTTTTCTGAGTTCTCGTTTAAAAAACCCAGCTCCAGTTCAGCTGGTTGTTCTGTCACTGGTTTTCCGAGGAGAAATCCTTATTATTTCTAATTTTTTTTATTATTTTGTCGGGCTGGTAAGAAAGTGGGGCCGTAGCCCAAGGGAAAGCACATGAGTTTTGAGCTATTTCAGGTGTTTTCTTGCTGTGGCCACGAGATGTTTGAGCCCTTTGCGTTTGAAACTGTTGAGGGGGGGCAAGAGCACCCCCAAAATCACCTGGATTTCACCTCCTGCCTCCCACCCCCCTTCCTTGTGCAAACACCAGCAGGGATGGGGGTACAGCAGGAGCCTTTTCCTTCCCCCCTCAACCCCTCCCCTCCCTTTTAAGGGGAAAAAAACCAAAAAAAAGTTGAAAATATTTAAATTTTTTTTTTTTTGGCTGTACTGTAGGGGTTTTTTTGGCTGTAACTGTAGTTTTCACTTCAATAAAAATGTTGCTGGCAGCTGCTCCTTCTTGATGCAGGTGGATGCAGGGGTTGGGTGCTTTTTCCTAGGGGGGGGGTGGTCCTGGGATGAGGTGGGGGGGCCACAGCCTGTCCCAGCAGCTTGTCACCGTGTCCCCTGCGCCCTGGGTTAATCATTTACCAATAATGGCTTTTTATCCTCTTTTATTTGCCCCCCCCCTGGACTTTGGCAGCCTTCGCCCAGCCCCGGCGGGTGCTTTGGTGCAGGGTGAAGCTCAACCCCCAGCAACTTGGGGGGGGGGTCTTGGAGCCAAAAATGGGGGGGCTCAACCCCTCCAGCCCCTTCCAAGGGGGTCCTGTGTCCCATCAGGTGGGGTCTGTTTGGTTCTCCCCTTTTGGGAGGGGGCTGAGGGGTGTCCCGTGCCCCCGAGTGGTGCCTGGGGGGGTCTGAAGGATGCCATATACCCCCAAGGAGTGATTTGGGGGGGTCCATGGGGTGCCCCATATCCCCAAGGGTGCCTGGGGGGGGTGTGTGTCCGTGCAGTGCCATATACATCTAAGAAATTAACAGGGGGATCTATGGGGTGCCCCCTGCCCCTGGGTTGGGGGGGTCCATGGGGTGCCCCATGCCCCCAAAGAGTGATGGGGGGTCCGTGGGGTGC